TCTCACTCAACGCTTCGACACTCTTTCTTCTATTAAATCCCGAAGTGATGTAGATGTCGTCGTTATCTTCTATTTTAACAACCGCCTCATTGTCTGTGATAATAGGGACTTCAACAGTTGCATCGTTCTGTATTGCGAACTTCATCCCCTTTGTGTAAAAATCCATTTGGACTCCAGTCAAATTGGTAACTTTACACAATCCACGCGACTTGTAAAACTCCGCGTTGATTGCCTTTGCCCAATTCTCAAAAAGGGAGTTCATTGATCCAACAAATTCTGGCGTTATGTCCACAAGCAAAAAGTCTGCTGGACTTATGAAGATGTTGAAGTGGGGTATTTCACATTCACTCGAGATGTCAAATAGTTCAACAAGCGGCTCTTTAGTATATCCGGACTTCGTCACTTTGGTATATTCAATTCCCGTCTCTGTGATTTTCAAGTCAAGTCTTTGATTCTTTAAAAATATGACCGTGTTTTTTGTCGTGAAAACAAGAGCAGGAAATGAGTCGATAGTCTTCCCTTGTTCAGATACAAACTCGCTGATCAAGTCGATATTAACCTTCCCAACACTCAATGAAAAGTTCAGTTTAGGCATTTTAAACTCGTCTTGAGTGACAACTTTTGTATTCACATACGTCTCTTCCAATACCAACCCTTGTGTCGTGTCAATTTCCTTTTTTTGTGTAACAGCTGAATCGTTTGATAGAAGTGTGAGTGACCGGAGACTCTGGTCAAAGTCCTTCAATAGTTTGAGAGTGTTGTCCAAATCTCTATTAGAAAACCTCACAAATATCTGTGATATGTTGACTCTCACATCGGGTTGTCCAATAGTGGTTATTGCCAATGTGACTTCCTTGATTTTGGCGATGTCCACAGACTCTTTTCGTTGTGGAGTTGTTCCTATGAGGCCGCAATCGTTTGTGAAGAAGTTGAAAGACTCCATTTCTCCATCTTTAATTGACAAATTTGACTCAAATGACGAGTATACAATTAATTCGTTTCCATCATAATTCTTAAAAAAGATGTTAAAGTTGGTGCAAATCAAGTTCACCTCAATATTCGTCGAATTTTTTGATTCTTTAATTATAGTTTCCACTTCTTCGTGTTTATTTAAAGATTTTTCACACTTTGCAATGGTATCAATCTTTTTTGTTTGCTTCTCTCGAGTACCTTTAGTTGGGACTGATGGCAGTTTAGTTATTGTATCTCTCTTTTTCGGCGTTTTCAAGTCGTTCAATTTCTGTTTTTGTTTGTTTTGTTCATCAGTGGAATTTAATTTGAGAAACCCGTTAATCGCAGGTGTAATTGCTTCCAATGTATGATTGATAAATTTCGGAATTAAGACGATGGTCGGCGAGTAAAATCGTAATGCAAACGCAAGTTTATTAGTATAGTCAACAGACGCCTCAAAACACTTTTGTCCATCTCCTGAGACGGCGCACTCCGACTTATTTTCCAAGTCGATGACTCGAAGGCTTGAGAGTGAAAGTGATGCTATTTTTGTTTTCATTGAGGCGTTCAGTTCCATTTTCTCGGCTATGAATTGAGCGTGCGCGACGGTGAATTTGACGCACTTTGCTTTCAATTTAAAATTGAACCGAGTTGGCATTGTTATATGTCCTTTCAAAGTACTTTTTTGTCATATAGTCCATTCGTCAAAACGATTAGAAAAGTATAGTAAATTTACTATCAACCAACTAACGAAATAGTAAAAAAATTTTGGTATTTCTTTCAAAAAATGACTTCTGTTGTGATCCTGTATTCAAAGGGGATACAATGCATTCCTATGAAATAACTATATTATATTAGCTTTTTAACAAGTCTTTTATAGTTCTTAAACAGTAACAAAAAACAATCAAATTGACGAGTCAAGGCGGGAAGCAATATTCTTCAAGTTGTTGTAGACTTTCCCTGGTGGCGCACCAAGGATCAAATCTTGGATGGCATCACGAGCAAATTTGACGTTTGCCTGACTCCCCATAACACTGATTTTTCTAGTTGTCAATTATAAAAGAACTATACCAATACTAATACAAACTGTCCCATCATGATGATACGCGTGTGTGTGGCGTTCTCAATTGAAAATTTGATCTTCCCATCTTTACCCGCAATACGACCCATTGCCCGTTTCAAGTGGTCACCTTGTAATCTCTTGACGTTGTCGATCTCAAATGAATCGACGCAGACCTCATCCATCTTGAGGAGTGCAATAGCGTCTTTTGCTTCAAACCCCTTTGAAATGGCTTCGATGAAGTCGCACGTTTTTTGGACAGCATCTATACACGAGTCTGGGTTTGTTTTGAGTTGGATAACATGTGCATTTGGATTCATACGAATGTTCAGTTTCATTTGCTTCACAATTGGCTCGTATATAGCAGGCCAATTGTTTTTGAAATATTTAAAACGGAATGGAGGAACACGGACAGACCGAATTTCATCTTGCGCCGATAAGCCATTTTGTTTTATCTCAGGAAAGACGGGTGGGGCAGACATGACGTGTTGTGTTTTGATTAAATCAAACCCTATCTGTTTTTATTTTTAAATTAGAACAACTTGTATTGGTTAAACCCTATTCTACTTTAAAATGACAAATTCTATACATTTAATTTTATTTTACCATGTGTTATTCTTAATTATAGAACTTGGTTTGAAGAACCAATTTATTTGTATTTCTTAAAAACAAAGTTAATTATATTAAAAAACAACTTAAAAATTACTATATTTTATTAACTTTTAGTAATAATGAAATACTAGAAGTTAATTACTTTGAATATTTCAAAAATGTTGATTCAATTGAAGAATATCTATCAAAGCAATGCAATTCAAATAGAATCAAATTGTATTACATCACAAAACATGTTTACGTTGAAACAATATCAAACCCTTTCAATGTCTTTACTTAATTTCAAATATCAATTAACAACAAAATAGACGAGATTTACAAAGCTCTCTAAAAAGCGAGATACCACAAACCCTATAAAAAACTAATAATAAACGATTCCTTTAAAATTCAAGAACATGGCAACACAATTATTACCTTATTTGGACGATATCACAACACTTCAAGAACGTCTTGACGTTGTTCGCCAGTACATCTTTCTTTTTGAAGATCCAACAGCCTCAACACCTCAGAAAAAAGACGACGAAAAAACACCAGAAATGCCTAAGGATGTTGCACCAACATCCGATTACCCAGATCACCTCAATGATAACATTAAAGACGTCTTGTCGTTCATTCTTCCTTTAATCGGAAAAGAAGAACCCTCCCTCAAAAACACGCCTGACCATCTCTTTCTCCTTCTCTCAACTTCAGACGCGTGTGTGGTCCCCCTTCTTCGTCTCGAGTTTCACAAGACTGTTTTAAACCTTCTTAAAACCCCATCTGACGACTTTTTGGAGGCAATTGCGTACTTCATGTTACATGGATTACCATGCCCACAGTTGGCGCCTATCATATCACAAAGACTTTGCGAATTATTGAAAGAAACGAGAAACGGCGAAATGACTGAAATGAAGCCAAATCGCAGACTTTCATTGTTGTCTGCTGTTGGAACACTTTCGCATCGAGGATTATTGAATGCTGCTGGTGTCAATTCAGACGGCGTTCTTTGCCAAATCATGAAAAATGGTATTCCAGACGATTTGCCAACTCTTCACACGACGGTGAGATGTATAGCCGGTCTCGTGAAACACACAGACAACATCTTTACTGTCAAAGATGTGTTCAATTTTGCCGTTGAGAAACTCAAGAATGGCTGCGACCTTCGGACGGAGATTCACTTGCACTCAATAGTTTCGACTTGCGCTCGAATGCCACAAATTGCTCAAGAAGTTCTTACAACTCCCGTGTACTTCTCAATCATCCAGAGTTATGTTAAGTCGAAGCCATCAAGATACAGCAGTGTTGATATTCGTTACTTTGCACTTCAAACCCTAATCATCGCACTTTCAAGAGTCACTGAGATACAAGAAGAAACTATCAAAATGTGTGAGTCAGTAGTTTTAGCATTACCATCACAACCCCTCTTTGCCCATTTGGGTGCCGATGTCTCAGGAGGACAGCACCCACAGATGTTAGGAGTTATCGGGTTAAAGGCACTATGTATGATACTCATGAGAATGTTAAGTTCGAAGTGCAAGAGTGAGTTGCTCTACACTCATATCAAACGAATTTCAGTGGAGAACGTTATTGCAACCATAGGAAGGTGTACCATTATAGACGAAGAGTCTGACGACAAGCCTCCTGTAGTCAAAACAGAAATCAAGAATGATAGAGAAACAGCACTTTACTGGGGTTTAGTTCTGATTCAGAAGATGTTTGCATATGAACAGATGATGGGCAAAAACGACGTTAAAACAGCGATGACAAATTGCGAAAAGGGGTTCTTCTATTTAGTTCGTGCGGTGAAGTGTTTCTGTGGGAAGACGCCAGACATTTGTACGCTTTTTGTTGACATCGCAAAGTGTATGAAGTTTGACACCCTTAAAGCAGAGGACAACAAGTCGCATTATGTACACCGACTTGTGCAATTGATGAGAGATTTCAATGACTCTTGTTTTGAGCATGGTGCCTCTAAAGCTCTTTTTGGGCTCTGTGAGTTGGGACTTATAGAGAAGAGTGAGATACCCATATTAGGTAAAATAGCGTTAGATTTAATGAAGAAGTTCTCTTTATTAACACCAGATAATGTTGAGACTGTTTATTCTCTTGTTTACATCATTTCTGAAGTTGACTATACAAGTGACGTTTGTGGAGAGATAGTCAAGTTGGCTATCAGCGATGTACTTCCATGGATATGTGACAATCAAACGAAAATTACTTCGAATGATGAAGATATTGAGAAGTATGATTTTCTTGTTCTTGTGTTATTGGTGTTATTCTGCAAAACAACGATGACTGAAAAAATGAAGAACATAGTGCAACAAGTCAGAAAAGTATATGGGAGTGAAGCTGGGGAGATTACCGAGTATTGCGATAAGTTACTAAATTAATTGATATTGTGTGCGTTAATCAAATTTACTTTATTTAATCATAAAAATAAAGTACAATACCATCTTTTCAAAACATTGGAATTTTCAAATAAGAAAAAGCGAAATGAAACTAAAAAGAACTAAAAGTAAAAATGTCCCTTAAAACACTAAAAAGACTCCCTCAATTAATGTTCTATGCGGGGATGATAGCAGTGACCACGATATTAGTCTGCTTCTTGTTGGCCACATTTTTAAACCACTACCCAACGGAACTCTTTTTGCCGTTTATCTCGTTGACGGGATATAAAGCACCTGAGAGGTATTTATACGCTCTAGGTTTTGGGTCGGCTGGGGTTCTTTTCTTATACTGTTCGTATTATATCCACTACTATATTCTCAGTTTCACCAATCTCTTCACAAAACAACAGATCTCACGACTCTTTTATATCCTTTCATCTGGTGTTGTGTTCTTCATGATCCACGCTTTCATCCCACTTCAAGACGATATCATCACTACCAAAACACTGACAATATGGAGTACAATCCACCAAAGCAGTGCTGGTGTGTTCTTCATGTTAGTCTTGCTTCACACTTCATTTGTGTTTTATTACACAAACCACAACGAAAACACGTTTATCTATTTCGATGAGAGAGCCACTAAAATAAGAAAACATTGTGCACTGGGGTGCGGTCTCACTGTTGTCCTCGCAATGGTGGTACACCCGACTACTGTTTCCATTCTTGGAAAAGACTCTGCAAAAGGTTTGTGTATTGATACTATACTTAATTAATAATATAATTATTAAATTAATCTAAATATAGAAATTGACAAGGAGTTGTCTCTGGTATGGCGGCACTTGCCCAATGGATTCTGGTCGGTCTTATTATTCTCATATTTGTGTCGTACTCAATGGATGTCACCAAAATCCTTCCACGTATTGCTGAGAGTGAGACTGAGACACACAAGGAAAGAAAGGACTAAGAACCATTTTTTATAATTTTTTATTCTAAATATATAGTTCAAATAAAACTTAGATAAATATAAGTTATACTCTTATATAAATAAATATATGAAAAATGACAATTTTAATAGTTATAGTTGTTTTGAATTATAAGAAACTTTAAAAATAAGGTAATCCAGTCAAATGAGAATTCTTATTGTGAGAGCATCTTAATGTACTTTTCAGTGCGTTTGAGACCGATAGGATATTCTCCAGTCCATTCCATTGTGTCTGACAATTCGAGGGCAAATATAGCTTCGAAGGGTGTTATGACAGGAATGTCTCCTTCCATCTTGAGGTCAGTAGTGTCTGCTCCCAACGCGATGACCATATCGACTTGTCCCTCATAGTTCAATAGTTTGTTATCTGGCCTTCCCATAAAAACGGTGACAACATTGTGCTCTCTCTGAATGAATTTACGGAGCATTTGGAAGCACTCTGAGTTGTCTATTCTTCAATTTCAATTGGTAAAATATAGTTTGTTTATAATTCAGTAATAGTACTTTTAACATACAAAAACAAACACCAGTCTGGGTCTAACAAAAGCAACATGAACGTATTGGCTTGTCTAATTCTATCAAAGAACGAATACCTATTCATGACGTATCTCATCGTCTCATTAATCGTTTCAATTTTCTCTCCGGTGACAACATGAATTTCGGTGGTGTGAAGAGGGCAGAAGAAGAGTTTGAAATAGGTTGTATCGAAATATTCTGTTGCTTTAAGAATGACGACCTCAGTGATTTCGTCTTTCATTGCTTTTTCTCTGACATTAAAAGCTTCTTCAAAGTCCGTTACGAGATACTCAGTGTTAATGTTCTTCATAAAAGAAAATTTCGAGAGAAGTGACGGTTCGACAATTGTTATAGTTCTTTTTTCTATAACAACTGGTTTGACGGAGGGTACATCGAGGGGGTAAACAAACACGTCGTCTTGCTTCGCGACAATTCCTCCAACCTGCACCACAAGTGTCTTCGAGCTTTTTTTAAACTGTTTGAATGCGTGAGTGGATGATGATTGGTATGGGGTGTGTAGGATTGCGGAAGTCTTGATGAGTGGAATTAAAGCTATGTGGATTTGTGAAGACAACTCTCTATAAACGGGTGATGTGCAATTAACAACGCAGTCACTGTAGTTTGGAATTAGCGATACAAGACTACTTGGTAATGTCACGGCCATTGAATTAAAATGATCAAATGATTGATAACTTTTTCAAAAAAATGGCTGTCCAGAACACTTTTTGAAAACAAAGTTGAAACTATATAATATAATTAATTTAATTTAATAATTTAATAATTTAATGATAACAAGAATAATAGAAATATATTAGGTTAATTATAATTTGATTTTAATAAAAATACAAATAAATTACATCAATAGTATTATTATTATTATTATTATTAAAATAATTTGGCGAATCGAATTCTCATTTTTTTAATACAAACAACAATAAAAATTTAAAGCAACAAGTCAGTCATAATTCACATCACAATGCAAGTAAGATGAAGAGAGCAAAAAGAGTAACAAAGATAAATGGCACTGCGTCTTTTGACTCTTTTTCGTTTGAAGAGTCGTCTGAGACGTCAACGACATCTTTGTTTGTGGTTGGAACTCCCTCAGCCTGGAGGTCAATGGTTGTGATTTTAAAGTCTATTGGGAGGTCAGTCACCTCGATGCGCTGAATAGAGAAGGTCTGGAGTGTCCCCTTTTCGTCTGCAATTGTCAGTGGGACATAGACACGTGTTGCGACACCTGATTTTACTATGTAGTCATATGGTTTGAGTTCGGTCTCTGTCTGTTGGTTGTACTCCTCGGAGAAGAGTCTGCTTCTGAATCTCATAGTTTTGACTCTGTCCGAGACGTAGTACACCTCAAACGAAAAGAAATTTTGTCCCGCTGTTTGCATTGGTGACGATCTCTGAACTCTGATAGTGTCCCAAGTCCTCAATGTCGCAGCAAGATAGTTTGTGGTTGAATTCTTTTGTAACTCAATATCAGTCCCAGCCGTGTTGAGCAGCGCCCACGAGTCGAGAAACTCTTTTCCATCAAACATGGTATATGAGTGTACCCCAATCACTAACACAAGTAAGCTGATCATATGGTTGTGAAGCTGATACTAAAGCACTCCCTTTTATTGTTAAATTTGACTTTCCTTTTCTCTTTGCTTTAAGAAAGTGAATTAAAAAAATCGTAAAAGGAAACAATCAGGTGGTATAAGACTTAGTAATTCAAGTAATTTGATTTCGATCAAAATAAAATAAAAACAAACCATTTTCTTTAATTGTCACAAAAGTAATTGATAATATTTCTAATACTTTAATTAATAAAACAATTAAAATAGATGGTGTTAAGCTTTTTTGTGTTAAAAACAATTCTTACATAAATATGGTGCTTTCCTTGAAAAAAAGTAATGCCAAATAGTTAGACAAAATTTCAGTTTGATTACCTCGAAGCCCAGATAATAATTTTGTGGTGAAGAAGGAAACAGGTGTATTAGTAACACAATTAACAGATAATAAAACAACTAAATACATAACAATACGAAATATATTCGTGGTGTGCTGGTGAATCCCAAAATTGATTTGTTGATCTTTTTTTACTTTAAAAATAATAAATATATGTGAGTTGTTTAGTATCAATGACGATTTAAGAGACGTATTTAGCCACTAGAACTGTAAAGTCTTTCAATGACACAAGAAGAAGTAAAAGAGGTAAAACCCACAAAAGAAGTCAAAGAAGTTAAAGAAGCAAAGGAGAGTGACATGTTGAGTGACAAGTTTCTAAGTTTTAAAATTACTTTTAGCTCTGCGTACGTTCCAGACAAAGAGTATGAGGACGCAAAGCAAAAGTTACGCCAAATGCAGAACGAATTCACTTCGATGCTAAAGGACTTTGAAAAATTGCCCACAACGGCGGCTGCCCTTGCAGATGGTAATTTGAGTCTTGTCAAATCGATGCAGAAGTGCATTTGGATGTCAGGTAATGAAGGCACGGCAACCACCCAATTAATGAATGCCACACAAGCTTTTCAAGACATGAAAATTCAGACAAAGAAGTTCGAGAATAAATTACACGACCAGCTTCTAGTACCTCTCAAAACGTATTATGAGCAATTTGTAATGTTGTCCAACCGTGTTAAAGTCTGTGACGCCCGTCGAAGTTATTTCAATTACTTCACAAAGCGTGTTGAAAAGATTGAGGCCAAAAAGCCAGAAAAGCAAAAAGGTCTCGATGTAGAGAAGGGTCACCTCCTCTTTTGGCGGCAAGAGTACTTCTATCTCCGTGATGAGTTAATTGCAGACATAACCAAGTTATTGAGTGACTCTGAAAATGTGATGGTGCCGATTATTAGAGTCTGCATAAACCACATTATGAACTTATTTGGTTCCTTCAAAGAGTGTTGTTTCAAGCTTGGGGAATTTGCTAATGAAATTCCGTCTACTGCCGCTTGTGTGAACTACGTTGTGCAAGCGTACTCCGACTCATTCGAAAAGGAACAGAACGTCCAAAAACGACGAGAGGCTGAAATGCCATCACAACCTCCACAGAAAATTGAAGAACATCTTCCCCCAACACAGCCTGAAAAAGAAGACATTTCAAACGACGAAGATCAGAAAAAAGAAGATGACGAAGTCCCTGTTGTAGATAAGGAAGTTGAACCAGAGGAAAAGGGTGCATCAACCAAAGAAGTTGAAGTTGATCACAAAAAAGAACCAAAAGAAGTATCAAAAGCAGTAAAAAGTGTTCAAGTGATCAAAGATTATGACGCACAAAATGAAGCAGAACTTACACTTCGTGTGGGTGACACGTTTGATGTCACAGACTGGTCAGACGACGAATTTTGGGTTGGGACACTTGGCGGGAAAACAGGTAAATTCCCACAGAATTGCATCATGGCGTTCAATTAATTCATTTGCATCAAATCAATTTATTTATTGTTTCTTCTTGAGAATGGTCTTCACCCATTCCACAATTCGTCGAGCTATTATTTCTTCATTCTTTGTGAATACAAAGTAGTGAGTACCCCCTTTCACAGACATAAACGAGCTAGATATGTTGAGTAGACACTTTGATTTCTGAACAGTGGCTTCTGGTGATGATATAGAGTCGCTTTCACTTTGTATTAGTAATAGAGGTAATTTGTCACTCCAATTCCAATTGAGTTCTTCTCTGCCCCACTTCACTATGTTATAATAGTTCTTTAAATCAAGTGTATTGCTTATAACTTTGTCACAAGTCGAACATTTTTCGGTCTCTTCGAATGTCACTTTCAGCTTTGTGAAAGAGTAAGTTCTAATAAAAAAGAATAGTACTGTTAATAGTACAAATACTATAATTTCATAGTGTATATTAAATTTAAAAATTGGGTTGATCGAGACTACTCCATCGACGATATTAATAAAATGGTCATATCGACAAAGATCGCATGACACTAATCCACTAAGACCATGTCCGACAACAAATAGAGGAAGTTGTTCCTCTGTTAACATGTCGGTCTTTTTAATAATTTTGATATAAGCATGGACTACATCTAATATCTCTGTTTTGCACACCACCCCACGAACACCCCCAGACTTACCACACCCCGGTAAATCTAAAAAATAAACGTTCATGCCCTGTTGTGAAAAGTACTTCCCAACCGAGTCGTACACAGCGCCAGAACTTCCGAAATCATGCAACACCAATAGATTGCAAACACTATTTTCAACGAAATAAGCTTGGGAATAGATGTCCATCCCATTTATCTTGTGAGTTGTCTCTACACATTCCATTTATAATTTTGGAGTTTACTAAAGAGGCAAAGCGATTTGACAAAACAGAACTGAATTACACACACAACCAGGCTTACTCTTTCTGTGCCTTCTTCCATTCTACGTAGTCGTCGAACATGATTGGCCACGTGGTATCCATCTGGTAATTTGAAAGATCCTCTTTAATGTTGTTAAAGAAGTCATACAACATCAGCCACTCGTCTTTTCTCAACATCTGTGACTTCGGTTGGTTTAAAAACTTCATAAAGTTAGTGATTTGCTTTGGTTTGTCTGGGTAGAACAGAGCCAATAACTCTGAAGTTGTCTCCTTATCTAGACATTAATTATATATAGTTTATTTATAGTACTTTTCTTTTCACTACTATGACGGAGGAGTTTAAAGGAAACTTATGAACAAACCGAGTTGCTTTGATTTCTCCAAGTTGTAAGTGAAAGCAAAGGAAAGGAACTTCTTCAGTTCGATGGGTTTACTTCTCAAGTCTTGTGGGAGTTTTTTTGGTATCACTTCTTTGAGTTGTTGTAAGCTTTGGACGTGGAGGTCACTCATCCCGTTGATATACTTTTGCAGTGTTATCACACCCATCTCGACACTCCCTAATTTCCACATGACCCACAGTGCTTGTAACCCTCCGATATTTTCTTCGTCAATTCCAATTTCTGCAAAGAAGCTTGTAATAGTACCCACTGAGATATGGTCTTTACCCTCCTCAAGAAATTTATTGAAGTCTGCTTCGACCGTGTTTTGCGTGTGTGTTTCCTTTGGAGGATCGACTTTTTTTTCTTTTTCTTTCTCTTTTTGAGTTGTTGGTGGCGGTTTTTGTTGGATTTGAGGCGGTGTCGCATCGACACGTTTTGGAGGGTCTGCTTTGACAACAGGTGGAGGGGTCTGTGGTGTTTTAGTTTCGGGCGTCCACTTGCGAGGATCTTGTCCTTGGTTTTCCGGTTCTTTAAATTGAGGAACAAGTGGTCCTTGCTTTTTCGGCTCGGGTTCAGGGGACTTGGCCTGTGGTATCTTTGGTTTGTTATGTTTCGAGCTGTGATTGCCCATACGTGTCTGCTTTTTCTGATCATTCTTCTTTATCATAGTTTCCCGTTTTGTCGTTCATAAAACATCCGTCCCATCCCGAATGATGGGCACTTTCTATTGATTTAATAAACTATAAATATAGAATTTGCCTTGTTTTCTATTTATAAATGACATTACATGATTGGACGAATTATTGGGTGAAGATTGGATAGTAATTCATTTTCCCGTTTTATTGTGCATTTACTATGTAAAATTATAGAGTTTTGTTTAATAAATAATGATGGATTCTTTTTAAAAATATAATTATTAAGTATTTTACTAAAATAAATAGAACTTATTTTTGGTGAACATTACAATGAGTCATGAAGGGAATTGAGAACTGTTATTGTTCCCGTTTTCGTTTGAATTTTTCAGCTAGTGTATTGCAAATCTTCAATAAAGAATCTTTAGTTTTTTAAACTATACTTTTTTGTTTATCTGTTGTAATAACAAATTGATAATTAAAATACCAAAAAATTCCATAAAAACATTAGTTTAAACATTTATTATAATAATATTATAATAATACATAATTAACTATTACTAATAATAAAAAAACAATTAGTAAAAACATTTATTAATAACTAAAAATGTTATTATTTTGTTATTTTATAATTTCAAGATTACCTCAAAAAGTAAAGCATGGAGCCTCGCTCGCCGCGATTTAATGTCGAGGATTTGTACGACACGACCATGGATCCTCAAAAACTTTTGGACGCATTTAACCACCTCACACCACTTTCAAACATCAATCCGACTCTACCAACGCACGAACAATGGGCTGCGCTCATTTCCCACCTTTCAAAACCGTCTCCCGTCATTCGTTCTGCGACTATCAGATATATCGACTCCCTTGTAAACTCGCTTGGACAAGTTCCCGAGATTTTGTTTGGTGATTTGGGTTCGTTGTTGGTGGCGAAGGCAATCATTGACTTTTCACAAATCAAAGAGAAGGAAGCGGAGAAGGTACGGAAGTATCGGACGATGTACACAACAATGAATAAATACGCTGTGACATTAGTGTCAGACATACTCATTTTGATTAAAAAGATACCTCCCGTCTGGGCGCGCGCTGTTGTCGAGGCCGCGGAAGCTGCGGACAGTCGCGACACAGTATACTGTGATGTGTTTAATCGACTCATTGTACAAATAGCGGTGTCATGTCCCAAGGCATTTGGTCCATTGGGTACTGATGCTTTAAAAGTTGTGTTTTCAAAGCAGACGCAATGGGTCACCTCCATCATGATGGACACATTACTCTTCACTTTGAACTCCCCACTCCATAAGAAGTACCTTGGTTCCGACCAAGTGCTTGCATCTCTTATATCCCCCATGTCAAGTCCAGAACATTGGATATTCCCTTTAAGATTAGTTGGGAGAACAAACCCTGATCGGCAACTGAAGGAGTTGCAATATTCCACTGCAGTGAAGTGCTTTTTCGAAACGATTAAAACGTGGCCGGGACTCCTTTCTCTCACTTCAATGAATGGAATTGAATGCCTGGTCGTCGCGTTACACTCACCAGTGCCAAAACAGATTGATATGCTGATTAATAACTTGTACTCCCTCTTCCAAATCAAACAACCCCTTTTCTCATCGCGATTTGAATACCCGGACTCGGGACAAGACCTGTTGAGCAACCAACCAATTATGCTAGCGTTTTATACCCATCTGCTTCATGTCTTGATCGAGTCAAATTTCTTCGACGCGTTGTGCGACGTCTGCGTCATGAGACAAATGCACGACGATTTTTCAAGAGAAGCAGTTCCACTGTTCCCAGATAACAAATTGGATAAGCCGATCACACAAAAGTTACATCGCGCTACAATGTCGGAACACACAAGGTCACCAATCACAGAAAAGGATGACGAAGACGACAAGGAAAAGAAGATCCCAAGTGAAGACATTAACGCGTTGACTGTTGTGTCCAAGTCTGTGTATTTGCTTGGAGAATTGTTACACCTGGCGGGTGTGTTGTTTCCGACAAAGAACGTTTCATTACAAAAATTGTTTGCAACTGCGTGCGATAGCGTTTCGAATTTACAGACGAGTTCCGTTTCGTTGTTAGTCAACTTACACACCCATATCCAACATAAAATCGAATCGAATTTGTTGGAACAAAAGAAGAACGACGGGATGTCGATCAACGACTATTTCTATAGCGACACAACAAACGAAATCAACCAAGCCATTAAAGGGTTGAGTGTCATGGATGAGAGTGAAATTAAACGGACAATTCAGTCGTTGAACTCCTCTGCAAACGAGTCGTGGAACTGGATACAAGTGTCGACGGTGTTAACTTCTGTCTTGCAAAATATGAGATACTTCCCCATCATCGAGAAAACGCCATTTTTGAAGGCTTTGGTCAAATTTTACCAACCAAGTAAGAAGAAATTCACAGAAACGGATTTCCAAAAGACGGACACTAAAATATCATTATGTGGGCTGATGCTGTTCCATATTTTAATTCAAACGGAAAGTGGTAAAATATTGCTCAACCCAATTTTGAAAGAGATTGAGTCGGAACTCAACTTTTTCATACAAATGGCAACAAAGAAAAGAGACGACACATTTAACTTTACGGAGTTTGTCGAGAAGAATCACTTCTTTGACCAAGGGCATTTGATGAAGAAGATGTCGAGAGAGTACTTCGGGTTCATTGGAAGTCTGTCCGACGTTCGAGACACCCTCGACGGCATCTTTGTTTCATATCGAACGATTTTGACAAACAAATCACTCAACCAACTCTCAGACCTGATTTCGTCGTCATTCAAAATTTCTATTTCATCGCACCGATCGAAGCTATCAATTGTCGAAACAATGTTAGGGTCCGAGAACGTCACTGTCATTAACAGAGCTATTAAAGAGATCGGAAGAACCATTTTACCTCCGTTCGATGCACAACCCAATTTCCAGTCCTTTTTCCAGACATGGGCGATACCAACCCTTTTGGAAGTTATGCAGAAGCCCGGGCAAAACGTTTCTATCATCAAACAAATCATTCAAATTTTGTCCACTGCGTTAAACAATGAAAAGACGATGGAGTTGTTCATTCAATACATTTCAAAGAACACCGAAGAAACAAAAAACAAGACGGATGAGAAAAATCCATTGGAGACGTCCATTAAGACCGTTGGATTGAATTTCAGCGTCCTTTGCGAGAACAATGGCCGTTCACTGCTCTACAAAATTTTAACAAACAACGAAATCATAAAGAAGTGTATGGAGACGACGGATTACATCGACAAAGAGTACCAATTTTGGATCGAAAAGGAGTGCAAAAATTTTGTGGAAAACATCGAGACGAAGCCATGTCTTCCACACTTCTTCGAGATATTGGGAACGACAGTAACGGGATGTGCAGTACTTCAGAAGAACAACACCAAAGACGCGTTATGTGAAATGCTCAACACGGGAGACTCAAACGACAAAGCTGCTGCAAATGTCGCACTTGCCGTTATTGCTGCGTCGCAATTTGGGTTTAATTTGATCGACAAGGAAATCACAGATAAAATGTTTACTGCTCGATTTGCAGAGCCTTTAACGGAGAGAGTACTCTCGTTGTGGTCGTTGTCTATTCTTTGCAAAAACAAAGTGTTTAAAGTACGAATAGAGAAAGAAGGATGGAATGTGACTGACAAAGGTGTTGTTATACCACAAGGTGGGCTCGAAGATCCGTTTTATAAAGTTTGTTTTTGTCTTTTTCTCTGATGCATGGAAATGCATTTACACATGTGTTGACGCGACAGCAAAATACACCAAAAGTGATGATCGACTATATCCCTTTCAATCCAGAAAGTATGACACAAGAACAGGCAGACGCAGTGAAGTGTGTAAGGAAGATGCGGCACGCCACTATGTGGCGTAATGCAATCAAAGAATTGAACAAAAAACGGGCGGAGAATGTGGAAGTCTTTAAAGACCTTCAGTTTGGCATATCGACGTGCCAACTGATCAATTGTATCAAACTGAATATCCTGCAAAGGTCGACCGTCTATGAAACGTTTCTCGGTAACATCCCCATTGATAAGATCAAAGAACAGATTGCAAAGGATTCAGACAAAATCATTGAAGTAAATAGGACGGAACCTCAACTGTCCGTCAAGCGAAGTAAACGTGCAACAATGTCCCAGCAATGTGTTGTTATCAACCCTTAATCATCCAGATCCTATTTTTACTCATCGTTTCCTTTTGTCTTGTCTAATACTATATTTTATTATAAATAAATTAGTACGTGATTTATTTATAGAGCATAGGGATTTATTACTAGTAATATTAATAAATTAGATGATCTCAGCCTCATCGTTGAACATCTGAGCCAAGATCAGTCGTGTGATCTTAAAAGTGGCTTCCCCAGACAACGAAGAACATGTCGTTCTTTGATAAGTACTCAAATATGAACTCCCACTTTTGTTTGGATAAATCGTAAGATCACTATTCCCAAAAGAAAAGTACTTATTCCCTTCTGTGGTTGAGTAATATGTGGCGCGGTCTTTTTTGGAATAAAAAATTCTGTGCCTCAGTGGTATTGAACTCCCACGGGGTGTTATAAATGAAAACACAAAAGCATCATTATCTGTCGTGTATGTATTCTCCTCACTAATGGGAACTTGGTAATACCCTCCAAATATACTATTTCTATTGTCAAATACTATCACACACACATTCGACTTGAACCTGATCGTCTCCATATATCCACCCTCCAAAAGAGACCCATCAGCGTCAGAGTCTCCTATCACAACACAGTTTTCCTTTTTTGTCCATTTCTTAAGTTGTTGATATTCAAACGCGTGTTCTCCCTTCGAGTAATAAACGCCCATCACTTTGTTTTTGAGTTCATTTGATTTTGTTCTTTGAAAGACGAATTGCTCCACCAATACTTTATAGTTTCATATATTATATAAGTTTTGCATATAGTTTCGAGATATTTTGATAATGAATCTATATCTTTAGTATTAATTAAAACAGTAAAATTAATGTGCTTGTACTATAAAGTATTATACAAAAACTAATGAAAAACAATCAATAATTTACAGACCCTCGCCTTCGTTCAAGTCGATTGGAGGAGTTAAAATTGTTTCAATGTTTGCAAAGAAAGCTGCAAAGTGTTTTGATGGGTCTTGTGCCAAAAACAGATTTCTCCCACATGATGCCGTCGTCTTCATTATTTTGATTTTGTCCCCCTCAGATATACTCTTCTCTTCCATCAAACAACAGGATATGTTACGAAGTAAGACACGAGGGTCAACAAGGGTGAGTGCGTCAATTGCAAGTGTAGTGGTGTGTTCGATACTTTTGAGTTGCATGAGTGAGCGTGTAATTTCATGAACGAGTTGTTCCAACAGTGGAGGAGTGATGACACCCAAAATCTTCTTCTGTTCGATAAGTGCAGCAACCTCTTTCAAATTCCCTTTTGCCATTTCAATGACCTTTTTCTCTACTTTCAGCTTCTTACTGAGACTCTTAAATGATTTTTTGTTGGGATAAGGTACTCGTACAAGAATACATCTCGACCGTATTGGTTGTAACATGCCACAAACATTACTACAAAAGAGAATAAATCGACAGTACGTCGACCCAACTTCCATTGTTCTTCTCAGTGATTGTTGTGCTTCATAAGAAAGAGAATCAGCTTCGAAGAGCATAATTACTCTGTACCTTGGTGGGGGTTTCCCACTTGTTAATTTTTGGAATAAAGAAGTCAGGGTTTGAATATTAGTCAAACTTTTGACGAACTCTTGAATAATTTCGTTGTCTCCATTGAACAAATCGCTGGGGACAATTTCAACATGAAATAACGACGACCGCACTTTCACATCCTCCTTCATGTTATTTACAACAATCTGAGTCACTCCAGACTCGATGTTATACACTCCTTTGCCATATATGTTCTGTAAAAAGAGCATTGCCCTTGTATACCTCCCACTGCCATCTCCTCCATGAATCAAAAGATGTGGAATGTTGTCACAGTGACTTAAGTTATCCAACAATGTGTTTGCTTCCTTTGCATAATCGAGTGATGAAAAAGCTCTTGGTCCATTCACAAACATTTGCAATAAGAGATTTTTTAATTCTTTTCTTTCTTATAAATAAACTAAAACTGATAAATTCAGAAAACAAAAACATTTAAAACACAACAGGAGAGACTTGCGAATGGCGGAGCGTCGATCCATTCAAAAATACTTGAGGACGAATATCATCGATATTTGTGACGGTCGGATTCGAGTTGTTCATCACTATAGTTTTAATGGTCGTTGGCAATACAATACTTCCACTAAACTTGTCAAGCACAATAATTTCAAGTGTACTTAAATACTTCAAATCAAAGGCGTGGCGACTTGCATTGATCTCAAGGCGTCTGATCATTGGCAATTTAACATCGACATTTAATGATCGTAATTTCACGTCGCATAGTGTTGTGTACATCGAGATGTCGATCGCGCTTTTGGCAAAGAACCCAGCAACACACATCGATGTGAGGTGTTGTGTAGTTTCGACTTTTGGAAGTTGTGAGTGTCTGCATTTCAATGAGACCAAATTGTTTGGGTAAAACACTTTGTCAGCATCGATTTCATCCACACTACACTCGGTCAAAACGAGTTCCTTCAAATTAGTCAAATGGGTGAACGAGTTGGTAATTTTGAATTCGTTAATAGAGACTGATTTCAAGTTGACGCAATTTTTTAAAGGCAGTGCAAACACCGCTTTGGTTCTCCCGTCGTGTTTGTCGCATCGCTCTTTCTGCCCTTTTTTGTAACTCACCTCATTTGAGAATGTCAGAGAAATCAAATGTTCATTACAGTCAAGCGAATTCACATTACCATCAGTGACAATGAGCTCTTTGACACTACTTGGAATGACATCCCACACACACCCACTTGTTTCAAGTTTTTCAAGATTTACACAACTTGTCACATCCACCACTCTTGTGGTTGTTAATGCTGTTAAAGTTGTTGGTAAATCGACGTTTTTTGCAACCGAAATGTCAAGGTCATAGAGTGCGGGGAATTTTGAAAGATCCAAATCGGCGTTTTTGGTTACTTGGACACACCCAAATGCATACAACTGAATAACGTTTTCAGGGATATCGCTTGAAAATTGGAACACTTTGTTGTTAGGGGAGAATAAATAAGTGTTGGGGTATATCAGTTCGCCAACACTTGTTACACACGAAATAGCGATGGTTGTGAATTCTGGAAATTCGTCGATTACTGCTTTGAGGTCACCTATATTGTAGAAACGCACAACAAACTTTCCGAAGTTGAATAGATTCACTTTTTTGTAGAAGCCGACATCGTTGTTGCTGTAATATTGATGAGTGACTTCTACTAAGTCGTAGCGCTTCGCTTTGGAGCCAAAGAAATTCTCGAGTTTCTGCGCAATGATTGCGGTGAAGTGCACCTTTCGAAGGAATGGAAATTGGTCTAAATTAAGCGCAAAACCTCTGATGCCGATTGTGATTTCGACAAGTCTATCCGTCATGTTGTCTGGTATCTGAATGGTTCCATTATAAGACGTCAAGACGATATGTTCAGCACACTTTGGAGTCAGTTGGAGGGATTCTTGGGGAACAACAAAGGTTTCTAAGTTACTAAACAATTTTGCTATTCTTTTGTATGTGGTGTACTCGGACTGTTTAGACTCGGTGTAATTTTCAAAAACGCCACGACGAGCAACTTTGTATTGCGGATTAATTCGAATGATTTGGAGAGCGTCAAAACATTTTGTGTTGATGCAACAAAAGTTTATTGCTGAGTCTATGTCATTCAAGTAAAGAACAACATTGGCTAAGTATATCTTTTCAAGCTTCATGAATTGAATTGACATAGATTACTTTTTCTTTTTATTGAGTATAACTTAGTTTTGTATTGAAGTATTCCATTTATTGTATTTCATTGTTGTTGCGTTGTTATGATTATATAAAAGTTACTTAACATAACGGGATCTTCATCGTAATTTAAATTGAAGTTTAGATGTGATGTTCAACACCTAAATAGTTCAAGTTCTAAAAGTTGAACAATATCCATGTTTACTTTATTAAATAATTTAAACAAACTATATACTATTTAGACATTAAACTTTTAGATGAACTGAAAATAACAACAAATAAATAACAAAATATGTTATAGAAATGTTTTTGAAAATACAAATGCTATTTAATGCTAATACATATTACTATAATTGACAAAACTCCAATAATCAAGTAACCATATAAATAATTTATTTAACTATAAACAAATAATTATATTATGTTCAAATTATTTTGAATTATTATGAGATTATAACACTAAAAATCTTTGAAAAAAAATAATAAATAATTTGTAATAAAAAGCAGATTAAAAACAACAAAAAACGGCAAATGGAACATCTCATTCCTTAATTAAAATCTCAAAAACGATAATTTCCCATTCAACACGCATAATATTGCTTGATATAAACTCAAACTTCAAAGTCGTATTTGTTGATATCAAAAGAAAGAAACCTCATAACTCAGACGAACTATAAAAACCTCAACTTACAAGTCCCACCATCAAATGGCGAAGCCTGAAACCCAAGTAATCTTTGCGTTTAATGATTCAAACGCCACGAAGGACAATGAGCTTTTCTGGCAAAAAACAAACGAATTGTATCAGAGATTTGTAACTAGCTTTGGTGTTGACCACGTCTTCTTAGTTTCGTTTGGCACTGGTTCCGAGGAGATTACCCCTTCTCAGTTTAATGCAATGGTCAAGCGAAAATCTGGTAATAGTGGTGGATATCGTATGGACAGCTTATCCAAATACTTAGTCAACACCAACTTAAAGGATAAGGAAAGCACCAAATTAGTTGTTGTGCTTGATGGCCCAGGTGTTGGGATTACTGACGCGAAAGTGATGATGCAAAAAGTTGGGAAATTAGCAAGCACTGAAGTGTTTGCCATTGGGAATAAAGGGTTTGATGGAGCGCAGCCCTTTTTGACACAAGAAGGGAGTAAGTTGTATCAAGTGACTGCCTCTGAGGAAAAGTTAGTATTAGAGACCAGCCAGAATGATCGCACAACTGTTTTGGGTATTGAGAAAATGTCAATTAAACAGTTTTTGGACAACTTTGATCGAATTATTAATTACATTAAAAATCCATGGCTTTATGGTCACGACCAATATCAAACTGTTGGTGCTATTAAAAACAATGACGAGCTCAAAGGGATTATTATGAAAGAAAAGAGTCGACTTCTCTTTGAATACGGTAAAATGAATAAAGGAAATGTCGAGGTACAATTACTCGAATGCATAAAGAAGAGCGACTTTGATGGAACAATTCCTGTGATGCAAGAACTCGTTGAAAAGTATTACAAATCAGTCAACTCCAAAACTGAAGAACTTTCTATTGAAGAGAAGATCGACTACTTGATTAAGTTGTGCGGAGGCCAAGAAGTTAATAACTTTGAAATGGACGGCGTTCGAGCTGGGAGAGCTGCACGCGCCAAAACTGCTGAAAATGATAATTTGGATGATGTTGATGATGATACCATTACTGATGCGCAATCACAAGGAATTAAAGAACTTGTTGAATGTCCATTGTCTGGGGAACAAGATGTTGGATTGTTATTGATTACTAAAAATAGCATCTTAGATGGGATTCCTAAGAACATAGTGAATAAGGTGATTAACTGCCCGATGACTTTAATTAACTTCCCGTCATTAAAAGAACGAATTGTTGGAGCTTTAGGTGGATTAGTCGGGTTGAAGAGCTTCAAAGAGAGTGCGATGACAGAGTCTCCACTTAATGGTGAAACAGTGTTGGGTGGTATTTTGCTCTCTTCGAATGAGAAAATGCAGAAGGTCAATAAACGTGCGATTGCCAAAATGTTCACCAACGGGAAATTGTTGGGGGCGCCTGTTTATTACTTGATTGCAATTCTTCAGACTATCAAAGAACTTGATGAGTACCAACAAGTTGTTTTGCCACTGAAGCAATTGATTCTTGAAATGATGAAAACGTCTCATACCTTTGCTTCATTGTCTGGTATGGTCTCATACGTCTCTACGCCACTTCGAACGGATGTTGCATTTTGGTTTATTGTCCACAGTTGCCTGATCAAGATCCCACCAGCGAACAGTCCATTTATACTTCACTTAGAAGAGATGCAGAGTATTATAGATTGCTTGGAATTACTCGAATACCCTATTGATGAGAGAGCACGCAAACAATATAAACGGTTTGTCGCAATACAAGTGCTGCACAGAATGAAGTATATCAACTCGGACACCGCACATTGCTTCATGAGAGCGCTCTATCAAAAGGCTTTGTTCCTTGACAAATCTAAAATTAAGGCAGTGGTCGCTCAAAAGGAATTTTACATGCCTTTTGTCTTTGTTGACGGTGCAGCAGACAAAGCTCAAGTCGACCACGTCTTGAGTCTCTTAAACCCTATTTTCAAGGAACTTACTATCGAAGAGATCTTAGCGTTGGATACTTTATCACACGAAAAGTGGAGAGTAAATGGCACCGAACTTCCACTTGATCTTCCCGTAGTCAAATGTACACCTGACACTCTTTGGGAGGGACTTAAGGCTGGGGCGTATACCCTCGATGTTGAAAAAATGAAGAAGAAGTTTGTCAAAAAATATGGGTTTGAGCCTGTACGTGAAGAGTTTTTGTTGTTCTTGTCGAAGAGAGTCAAGCTTCAAACACTCCCAGAACATATAGCAGAGACTAAGTGATTTTAAAGCTTATTATTTATTTATTCTATACATAGAGAAGTGAAAGTAGAACAGAAAATTGGATAAGAAGTATAATTAAACGTGTTAAATTAGAAGGTATAACAAAAGCGCCGAGATAACAACAACTAGACTCGGCGAACCACATTGCTGCATTTGATAATTCAAAAGAACACCTTCACATGTATCACATTTGAATATGCGTGTCGCACTGACTTCACTCTTGCAGTTCTGGTCTTCGCATTGAAGAGAATATAAGTAATCAGCACCTTCATACTCCCTCACTTCGTACTTTGAAAATTGACTTCCACTCTCAACAACGTTTGATGTGTAATAGTTTCTGTCAAGAGTGTCTCTGTTCGGACAATCTATGTCGTCTGCTGATGAAGTAAAGGCGATATGTTCCGGGACTTCGTAAGTTGTCTTCGAATTTTCTCCAACAGTGATTTGTCGGGCAAGTGTCTCATCATTCTTACATTCTGAATCCGAGTAATAATACTCCGACAAAACGTCATCTTTGTTTTTGTACATGTATGACTGTGACTTGTCAACAGACAGTCGGTAACACTCCTTTAATTCCCATTTTTTGAAAAGGACAGGCTTTTCGTCGATTCCTGTTTGTGTAATTTCGACATAGTACTTCGACTCAACAACATACAAGAAGAAAAGAACGATAAAAAAGACCATTTGAATTTTAAAGATTTACAAAAAGTTTAAAGAAAAAAGTGTCAGTTTTCGTTGATTCAAAAATAAGTCGACTTAATACAACTTATTTTCTGGTTTTGTATGAAGAATAAAAGAAATTGATTGTTATTGATTATTTGAATTTCCATAATAATAATTATAATAAATCTGTAATGTTTTGTATTAAACAAAATAAACGAAGCATACAAAAACAACTATTACCAATATAACACTTTTGGGTTATTTGTTTGTTATAATACATTGTTTTTTTTAACAATTGTTCGATCAAAACTAGAAAAAGTATTTTTTTATTAATAATGATTAAAAATATTAATAATATTATTATTTTTTAATTATTATTTAAATTAATAAATCAAATTGTTGAATTTATTATTGAAATGTTATTTTAATAATACAAAGAGTTGTGTTGTTTATTATGGTTTGCTCATGGTATTTTGATGTTTTTTTCAATTGTTTATTTTATACATTAATAACCCGGCACACAGCGACGGAGTCATTTTAAAAAAAAAAAAAAAGGTTTAACATTCTATACAAATAAATATAAGTAATAAATATTATTTTATTAAAAAATTTTAAAAAAATAATTTAATTCAAAAATTTAATGAATTAGAAATAAGTGTATCATATTAAACATGCCATTTTTATCATTATAATGAAAAACATTATTACAATATAATATTATAATGGTATATAAATAATATATATTATCAACAAATTTGTGAATAATAAATTTTATTATAAACAATAAAATTAAAAACTGATAAGACAGTTTTATCATTTTATTACCAGATTGTATTTTATACAAACTTCATATAATGTCCATATAATAGCTTTATATAGTAAAATATGATAAACATTATATCCCGATTATTACTAGTTATTTATTATACAAAATTGTTATTTATTACTTTTTGAATATTAATTTATTTTTTCCATAATTATATTTGATGACTTTTTTTTCTCAACAAAACATCAATTATCTTGTATTACATTTATTATAATATTTTATAGTTATAATATAATAACACTTACTAGCAAAGTTAATGATATTAAAAAACCCTAACCACAACACAAAAAAATAAGACAGAAAAACAAACTAGGCGTTTATTAACTTTTTTAAAAACACTTTATTCTTTGTAAAAAAAACATTTGAAAAACAAAAAAATGATCCTCCGAAAATGGCACACAAATACCGACACTAATTTCAAGTTCAAGGGTTGTGAAACCCGATACTTTGGTTTTATTTAGCGTATAAATTACCAACAAACTTGCACAACCAAATAAAAATAACTCGTGGAGAAAAAAACAAAAGACAAAAAAAGAACTAAAAAGTCAGAGAAGCCGTGGCATGCCCGAGTCAAAATCGTTTTCGTTTAAAATAGTACTTCTGGGCTCTGGTTCTGTAGGAAAGTCTGCAATCGCCACGCGATATGTCAAAAACACCTTCTTGGGAAGATACGACCCAACTATTGAAGAAACCTTTTCGAAGACCATTGAAGTCGACGAGAAGCCTGTCCAGTTAGAAATATACGACACTGCAGGGACTGAACAGTTCAGAACACTTCAGGACTTGTACATGAAGGAAGGTGATGCTTTTGTGTTAGTCTTTTCGTTGCAGTCCGTCTCGACTTTCAACGACCTTTCAAGCTTCCATGAACACATCTTGAATGTCAAGGCATCGATGAAACAGTTGAACGTTCCTATCCTCATTGCGGGGAATAAGTGCGACTTGGATGATAAAGACAAAACAGTCTCGGCCGACGACGCTAAGAAGTTCGCAGAGGAGCACAACTGCACCTTCATGGAGACTCC